TAATTTCTTTCTATTCTCATTGCTCTTGCAAGAGTTTCAAGCACTGTATTGAAAAAGAGTGGAGATAGTGGACAGTCGTGTCTGGTTCCTGATTTTAATGGGAATGCTTCCAGTTTTTCTCCATTTAGGATAATGTTAGCTATGGGTTAGTTGTATATAGCTTTAATTATGTTGAGGTGTGTTCCCTCCAGACCAATTCCTTCTAGGACATTTAACATGAATGCGTGTTGGATTTTGTCAAATGCCTTTTTTGCATCTATTGAGATGACCGTGGGGATTTTGTTTTTTAAGTCCATTTATATGTTTTATTACATTTATTGACTTAAGTGTGTTGAACCATCCCTACATTTCTGGAATAAAGCTGACTTGATCATGGTAGATGATCTTTTTGATGTGTGGCTGTATGTGGTTTGCAAGTATTTTGTTAAGTACATTTGCATCTATGGTCATTAAGGATATGAGTAAACAGCTTTCTTTTTTCTTTGTATCTTTATCTGGCTTTGGTATTAGAGTGATAATGGCTTCATAGAAGGAGTTTGGGAGTTCTCCCTCTGTTTCTATTGTTTTAAATAATTTAAGCAGTATTGGTTGCAGCACTTATTTTAATGCCTGGTAGAATTCTGCAGTGGATCTATATGGGCCTGGGCTTTATTTAGTAAGGAGGTTTTGTATTACTGTTTCAATTTCTTTATTTGTTATGGGTCTGTTTAGGCTGTTGATCTCCTCTTGGTTTAACTTTGGTGTTGGCCATGGTTTTAGAAATTCACCCATTTCTTTTAGGTTTTCAAATTTAATGGAGTATAGATTTTTAAAGTATTCCCTTACAATGGTTTGGACTTTTTTTTTTTTTTTTCTGTTGTGATGTTTCCCCTTTTGTCTCTGATTTTGTTGATTTGAATTTGCTCTTTCTTTCTTTTGGTTAACTGGGCTAAGGGTCTGTCTATCTTGTTTAGCTTTTCAAAGAACCAGCTCTTAGATTTATTGATTCTTTGTATTGTTTTCTTTGTTTCTATTTCATTAATTTCCGCTCTGGTTTTTGTTATTTCTCTTCATCTACTAGGTTTTGGGTTGGTTTGTCCTTGCTATTCCAGTCTTGAGTTGTACTGTCAAGTCTTTTACATGTGCTCTTTCTGGTTTTATAATATAGGCACTAAGAGCTATAAACTTCTCTCTTGGGATGGTTTTTAAGGTGTCCCAGAGGTTTTGTTGTGTTGTGTTCTCATTTTCATTTTTTCCAGGAATACTTTTATTTCTTTCTTAATTTATTCTTTGACCTATTTATAATTCAGGAGAGTGTTGTTTAATCTCCGTGAGTTCATGTATTTATTAGAACTTCTGTTGCTGTTGATTATAAGCTTTACTGCACTGTGGTCTGATAAAAGGCATGGAATTATTTCAAAATTTTTTTATATTTGTTCAGATTTGTTTTGTGCTCCAGAATGTGGTCAATTTTAGAATAACTTGCATGAGCTACTGAGTAGAAAGTGTATTCTTGGGGCTAGAGAGCTGGCTCAGCAGTTAAGAACACTGGTTGTTTCTGCAGAAGAACCGGGTTCAAATCCCAGCATCCACATGGCTGGTAACAACTGTCTGTAACTCCAGTGCCAGGGGATCCGACAGCTTCTTCTGACCTCCATGGGCATTGCACAACACAGGTGCACTTATCTACATGCAGGCAATACATGCATATACATAAAATAAAAGTAATAAATAATTTTTTTAAAGTGTTTTCTTTGGTGGTTGGGTAGAATATTCTTTTTATATCTGTTAGGTTTGTTTCATGTACTGTGTCATTTAATTCAGATGTCTCTCTGTTTATTCTTTGTCCAGTTGACATGTCCATTGAAGAAAGTGGGGTATTAAAGTTGCCCACTATCACTGCGTTGCTGTCAATCTCTCTTTTATAGTCCTGGGCAACTGATTTTATGAAATTGGGCACTCCAGAGTTTAATGCATAAATGTTTATGATTTTAATATCCTCTTGGTCAACTGTTCCTTTGATTACAATAAAGTAACCCTCCTATCTCTTCTGATGAGTTTTAATTTGAAGTCTGTTTTGTCAGATATTAAAATTGCAACATCTGCTTGCTTCCTGGGGCTATTTGCTTGGAATATATATATTCTTTTAGTTTTTTTATTTGTTTGTGTGTATTCCTTAAATTCTTTGTATGCTTTAATTATATCTATGACTGTTCTTTTAAATTTTGTATCCTGGGTTATCTCTAGGGGTTTCTCGTTGTAGAACTCTTCTGTAGAAGAGTTGGTGGGGACATATTATTTGGGATTTTCATACTTTTATTTTTTTGTTGTGATTTTGACTTATGGATTTATTTTGTTGTTTCTAATTCTGCTGTGAGACTCAAGCCTTTGTTGAGTTTGTCTGTTTTTGTTTGTATACTTGACGTGCCTTTATTGTTTTCTTATTGGGTATGAAGAGTTGGTTGGTCTAGGCCTTGGGTTTTCTCATTTTATTTTATATTGGAGGGACCAGATGACTCTAGCCCACTTACTCAGGATTTCCCAAAGAGGACCAAATCAGATGAGAATCAGATGGTGTATTTTCCTCCTATGGTCTGGGCCCCTCTAGTCTGCAGGCACAGTACAATTTGGGAAGCTTGCTAGGTGGAGGCTGGATTCAGATGATCTCAGGCAGTCTTCAAATGTTTTGGCACCTTCTAAAGGGCAGGGAAGCCTAACTCTGCAGGAGTGGGAGGGGCTGTAAGTGGTCCCAATGTAGTGGGATGGACACAGTGTGATTCGTAAAGCTTACTGCCTCATGGAGGTAGTCCAGAGATCTGGGGTTCTAAGAGCAAAAGCTGTCCTGTGCCCAAGGCTAGAAGGAGAATAGGATGTAGGGGTCAGGGATACTGGAACTGCTCAGGTTGTAGGAAGGTCAAGACACCGTGAGCCGGATCTGACTTACCAGGGTAAAAGGCTGGTCTAGGTAATTCAAGGCAAGGTGGGGTTGCAGACAGCCAGAGTAGAAGGCTGATCTCAGGATAGCAAAGGCTACTTGGGGGTAGGGAATGCCTGTGAAGGCTCTAAGAAACTAGACTGAAAAACTGAGCAGGTCTGAGTGCAGGGGATCAGGTCATAGTGGGCAGGTCTGGACTAAGAAGGTCATTCAGAGATCTGGTGTGCTAAATGTAAGTGGGCCTCTGTCCAAAGCTAGAAGAAGAACAGGATGTGGGGTCAGGGAAATTGGATCTGCTCAGGTTGTGGGTGAGTCAAGGCAAAGTGTGTGATTGGGGGTGGGGCGCAGTGGATCAGACTTTACCAGGGAAGAAAGCTGTTCTCCGGAATCCCAGGCAAGTTGGGAGTTGGAACAGCCAGGAAAGAAGGTGGATCTCAGGTGTGCAAAGGCATGTTGGGGGTGGGGCAGCCTGTGAAGACCCTAAGAAACAAGACTGAAGGACTGAACTGGTCTGGATGCTGGGGATCAGCATGCAGTTTGCGGGTCTGGGCTAAGTATAATCTAGATATCTGGGGTGCTAAGAACAAAAGTGGGCCTGTGCCCAAGGCTAGAAGAAAAGCAGAATGTAGGGTCAGGGAGATTGGATTTGCTCAGGTCTGGAGAAGTTGTAATATTCATTATTTTAAAAACTAATATGAGGGGCTAGAAAGATGGCTTGACAGTTAAAAACATGTACTGCTCTTTCAGAGGATCAAAGTTTGATTTCCAGCGCCCATGTCAGGCACCACATTACCACCAGCTTCATAGGATTTGACATCCTCTTCTGGCCTGTATCTACCCACATACACATGTAACCTAATTTTAAAAATAAAATAAAATCTTTAAAAAGATTAATATTTCGGGTGCTTTGTATCTTTTTTTTCAGCTAGGGTCTTATTATGTAGCCCAAGCTAACCTGAAGCCCCACATTGGTCTCTAACTTGCAATCCTCTTGCCTCAGCCTCCCAGATGCTGAAGTTATAGACATGTGCTACCATTTAATATAATTAATCTGATATACTGCAGACAGTTCAATGCTTTCGTGGTACTTTGTATCATATATTTCCCAGCCTTTGCTTTCAAACTATTCTTACCTTTGAATATGTGTAGTGTCTCCTACGGTATGTGGGATCCAAACTGCATGTTTGCTTTCCCTGTGATGTGGTTATGGCTATAACTCTGACTGAGGATCTCTGTCCTTTGATTGATTGATTTAGCATATCATTTGACTGTTACTATTGATACAGCCTCTGATTAGTACCGAATTGTGTAATTAAAAAAGTAAACTATTAAAAATTTTTCCTTACTACTTCAGATTTTGACTATATTAGGAGATAGGGTCTTTAAAGAGGTAATTAAGTATGCTTGCATATTTTGTTAAACGAGTTCTTTATAAATCTATTTGTTCATTCATTTAGAGTGCCATTTAACAAAATTGCTGACTTCTAAGCCTCTTGTTTTTCTATCACTGATTCATTCAACATTGTAGACCTGACAGTTCTCCTTCTTTAAATTATCACATGGATTATGGCTTCAACTTTAACTGAGCCCAGAAAATGACTTACTTAGAATTCAACCATATAAATCTAGATTGCTCAAACATACCAGTCATTCATGAGCCAACAGTCTAATAATTTCTAATTCACAGTAAGTTCATGAAAATACATGGATTTTAGGTGAAATTATTGTTACTACCTTTGGTAACAATAGGATCAAAAACAGCACGCATGCTGTGTGGATATAATTTTAAGTGTCTGTAGGACAGCAAGCCTGGAAATGCTACAATTTGTTCCATTCCAGACACCTGTACCTCCTCAGAGTACACAATGGATGCAGAAAACAGCACATTGTGAAGTCCTTTTTATTTCAGTAATGAAGGATTACAGACAAGAGTGGGTAAACATTCTCTTGATCAGTGATATAAGCAAGCTCAGCAGGGAAGAGAGTCTCTGATTTGCATTTTATAGATGGTCTAGTTTAATTTTTGATGCCATAGGAATTTCTGGTCTGGCTATAAAATTCCCCCCCAGCCCCCACCCCAGTGAATTTAACCTTTGAACTTGCAGACAAAGGAATAGAGTGCATCACAATTATCATCCTTCCATTTCTTGTATCCTACAAACCAATAATGAGAAAAATCAGATTGAGAGAATCAGGAGAGGGGCCTATTCCAGCTCTAAGACTCAAAACAAGAAATAAAGCAGACACCTTTAATTTTTTTTTTTTTTTTTTTTTTTTTTTTTCAGGGTCTCCCTGTAGCCCCAGCTGCTGTGGAACTTGCTACATAAACCAGACTGCTGGGATTAAAAGTGTGTGCTGCCCTGCCTCTATCTACTGTCCTATGTCCACCCCTAGAACTGAGCAGCTGAAAGTGTAACAGTGTGGAAAATCTGTACCTCTCACCTGTGTTTGAAGTCAAGGATACACAGTAACCATGATTGGTATTGTTTGGAGCTCCAGGAGCCCAGGATTTGTAGATAACCAGGGACCCACTGCTCCAGTGCCAACGATGGTTCTAGGGATATAGTCAAATGGAGCAGACACAAATCAGCATGTAACAAAAATATCTGGGCTGTGTGCACACTCAGAAACTCTCAAAGAAATGCTCCAGGAATAAACCTGATTGTCTCCTTGGTTTCTACACTGCTTCATTTGATTTTGTTCTAAACTTCTCCTTTCCTGGAATATCCAGCTTCTTGTGTCCCACAAAAATATATTTTTCTTGAGTTTTGTAAAGTACATAAATGCTCATTACAGAAAGTGGTTTCTAATTTTTCTTTCTGGTGGCACAAAACTCTCATAATCTGGCACATTCTTTGCTGCGAGGGCACTGTTTTGCACAGCATCAGATTCTCCAAATGAAGGCAGTAAATACTCTTGCATCACCTGTAAATTGCTCTCTTCTAACACACAGGATAGGTAAGAAATGACACTTAAATTATTTTGCTGGAAATAGATTGAAATCTATGAATGCGTGGAACAGAGTAGAAGTTTAGCCTTCAGCTTTCTCTCCGACAATCTCCAGTGAACCTCAACATATCCACATGTTCTGGGACACATGTATACACTGCTTTTCTACAAACATTATGAATGTTGGCTCTGGACTGGGCAGACCTGGCTCTCCCAGTTCTTTCTCCTGATTATTGCAGAAAAGGAGGCTATGCACTCACCCTTTTGGGGTCATAGAGGCCAGTCCAGGCATTAGCATCCATAGTACCACTCTCTTTAATCAGAGATGCACAAAGTTGCCTTCAACCAGGCTGAGCACTGACACAAGGTGGCCTGAATTCATATTCTGGCAAAAGAGCTGTGGGGATTGGAGGAGAAAATATATTACACATAAAGAAGTTTTGAGCAATACTGTAGGCAGGACCTCCAATGAATGTGGAAGAAAAGGGACAGTGCAGAAATTGTTACCCACGATGCCGTCACTGACCACCAGTAGCACTGATTACAAAGTTTGGAATGAAGGACACATTGGAGGGAGAAGTTTAAGTTGGTGATGAGGCAAGTTGATGATCAGTCTTATTTTGTGAAGCTTCTGAGAGTACCAGAAAATGTCAACTGCCTTTGCTTTCCGGTGCCTCCCTCCTCCACATCTCTCTCCTCAGGCACATCTGTATCAGCCCAGGCCATACGGTCTTCCATGAAATAGTAACAGTAGGAACTGTAGGCATTGGCACCTTCTGAGCACATGATCCTGGCAGAGGGAAAATCTTCTTCAACCTCCTGGCCTAGAAAAGGAGAAGCAGTTAAAGGAGATGCACAGGATAGGGCAAAGGCTGACATTGTTGAAGCTCTTCTATAGAAACTCAAGGGTACAGCATTCGCACAGAGTGACTGCATACTCCTGCTCTCCTGCATCCTTGAATTCTCTCTCAGGCTTTTTCTCCTCTAGACAAGAATTCACAATGATGAAATTTGTTCTGTTAGCTCTGCCTTTCTCATGCCTCTCTCCTCTGCACGGGAATTCCCCCAGCCTCCTCAAACCTGGCATAAGAGGTAGAGCTATACAGATGAACTAATAAGGCTTCAGTGGCTGTAGATAGGACCTAATTTAAAATTCCATCTCGATGTCCCAGATAAAGCAGGATTAGAGCAGTCATATGGATCTACATATGACTAAAGTTGACTCTGCCTCTTCTTAATGCAAAGAGATGGAGTGAAGACATTAGTTCCAACATCATCATTCAAAGAGCTCACCTTGGCTTGGAGACAAAAACATCAGGCATGAGACCAGGATGAAGTATGCTCTAGTCTGAGCCATGCTGAGCAGCAGTCTTTTGCTTAGAAGCAAATCAACAGTCCCTATTAAAGAACAAAGAAAAAACTCAAGGAGTAGTGAATAGAGCATGATCAGTCGTTGCAATGCCTCTTCTGTCTGAATTCCAGAGTAAAAGAAGGCTCTCTGAGATACTGACTTGCTAAATATTCTCTTGTGAGTCTAAGGATTAAACAGACAATGAAGCTCAAAGGAAGTTCTGACTCCAGCTGAACCATTATTACTTCTAGTAGTTTTTGTATTTTAAAAAATCCCTTTTTTCGTCCCCCAGATATAAGGGTAACAGTTGTCTTACAAGTGCCCACCTCCTGTAAAGGTATTTACCTGCAGGCTGGGACTAAGGTGTCTTGTAAGGCTATGAAATGACAGGCCCTATACATATAACAGGATTGAATGGAAGGACATATGAGCAATGGGAGTAGCAAGGAGTGTCACAGAGTCTGCGCTGGGCACTGCAAAAATCTGGGTACCAGTAATTGCCCCTTTCTGATACACACTGGGAACAGCCACAGATGATGTTCTTTACCCACAAACAGATTGGAAAACTTGCAAAGTTAAAGTCCAGCTTTGTCTTTCCTAGAAGTAAACAAGTGTCTGGTAGCATCTGGTTCCCATGGCCCTGAGAAGTCTGGGCAGGAGCAGAGCCCTTCCCGAAAAGCAAGATGACCAATGAGAGGGAAAAAGTAGAAGGAACAGAGGAAATTTGTGTGTGATCCTGGAGCAGGGCAATCTGTGAGGCCAGCAAGATGAGGCTGGCCAAGATGTGGAGCTTCTGTGCTTGAGACAGTGAGGAAAATAGTTTAAAATCCAGGCAACTTAGAGGCCTTGCTCCGATCTCCCATGAGAAAAGAAAGCTAAAATTACAACTTCTTCCACCAGGAAATTCCTTATCTCATTAATTTCTCCTCTTACTAACCTCACTCTCTTCTTTCCATTCTCTCTGAACTTTCCCATGTACAGATTCCTACTCAGGTTGTCTGACCCACCTCTCAGATGTCAGGCCCCTGTGGAGCCTTCCATATGCCTGACCCTGTTGCTATTTCCTTCTTCTCAAACCGCTGGGGAGAACTTTGCTCTTCTCCATGGCAGGTGGAAGTCTTTCATGAACTTCCCGCCTCCAGTGCACTTTCATAAACATCATAGCCCATCTTGTATACATGGCTTCACTAACTGCTCCTGCACTAGCCCTCAAAATCTGCCAACTGGTTTGGATTTTCTGTTGATTCTTTTCCAATAGTAAGATTTTCTCTTTTTTTTCCTTTCAATGTATATTTTTGTTATTTTGTCTTTTTTTTTTTTCAGAGCTGAGGACCGAACCCAGGGCCTTGCACTTGTTAGGCAAGCGCTCTACCACTGAGCTAAATCCCCAACCCCTCAATGTATATTTTTATTGAATTTTTGTGGATTTCATACAATATATCTTAATCCTATTTAGATACCCTCCCCTATCTGCACCCTACCTATAACCCACCCATAGAATTTCATGCATTCTGTTACATAAGACAAGGTATATCTAGTCATTTATGTACCCAGATGTTTCTCTGTGTGAGTTCATCCAACAAAGCCTGTTCAACCTATCTAGTGTCACTCCCTTAAGGATGATCAACTCTTCCTCACCCAGCAGTGATTAGCTGCCAACAGTTCTTCAGCTAAGGCTGGGGCCTCCTGCCCATCTCCCCAGTTCTATGCTGGTTTTATCTGACTGAGTTTGCATCGGTCTTTTTCATGCTGTCCACATTAATTGTACAACTTACTGACTTTCACATTGACATTTCCATTTGCGCATGAATCCAGCCTTACTCACATCTACCCTCACTTTTGCCCTCTCTAGCTTCACTTTTTTCTCTCCCTGTGTTCTAATTTACTAATATTTTCATTTCCTACTTTCAGCTCATTTCTTTTGTTTTCCCTCATTCTGTTTCCACACCAGAGAAAATAATTCATGTTTATCTTTCTGTGTCTAGCTTTCTGCATTTGAAGTGATGTCTTCCAACTCCATCTATTTTAGGAAATAGCAAAATCTCATTCTTCTTTATGGCTACATAACACTCCATTTATGTACATATACTGTACTTATACTGTCATTTCATCTGTTGGTAGGGTACCTAGATATGCTCCATATCTTAGGTATTGTGAAAATTTCTCCAGTAAGCATGCTGGTATCAATTTTGCATTTCAGTAGCATTTCCTTTGAATACACACTCAGGAGCAGTAATATTAGAAAGTTCTATTATTGGTTGCTTGAGAAGCTTTTGCACTATTTTCTATAATGACTGTATTAATTTTCCTTCCAACCAATGGTGTATACACCTTCCTTTTTCCACATCATCAGAATTTGCTATTTTTGTTTTATTTTCTTAAGGACAGCCATTCTGACTGGAGTAAGATGAAATTTCAAGGAAGTTTTGACTTTCACTTCTTGGATAACATAAATCACTGAAATTTTTTTTTATATTTCTTCGGTGACTTGTGTTTCTGCTTTTGAGAATTGTCTGCTCAGGTCATTTGTGCATTGTTTAGATAACTGGTTTTGTTGTTAGGTGGGAGTTCTCTGTGTACACTGGACAGTCTTCCATCAGAACAATAACTGGGAAAGACATTTTATTCTGTAGGACGTCTCTTTATTTGTCTCTTTCCTTAGTGGTCCAAAACCTTTTGAATTTGATGTAACCCCATTTGTCAATTCTTGCATTTATTTTCTGAATTGCTGGAGTGCTCTTTATGAATTTGCTGTCTATTCCAGTATCTTGACATTATCCCCCTATGTTTCCTTGTTGCTAAGTTTCAGGTCTTATGACTCTGGTACATTCTGAATTGATATTTTTATGTAGTGAGAGTTAGAGATCTACTTTTAATCCTGTATATGTGGATATCCAGTTTTCCTGGCATCACTTGCTGAACAGTATATTGACTATACATGCATGGATTTGTTTATGGGTCCTCTATCTTATGCCACTGGTCAACAAGTCAGCTACCAGTGATAATACAACACTGTAGTGCACTTTTAAATCATATATTGTATACCTTCTGAAGACCTACTTTTGTTCAGAATTACATCAGCTGTTTGGGATATTTGTGAATTCTAGTATTGATTTTTATTCTGTAAAGAGTATCTATGAGTATTTCAATGACAACTGCGCTGACTCTGTAGATTACTTTGGATAGAATAGCCCTGTAGAAAAATTAATTATGTCATAAGCATGGTACATTTTTCTACCTTTAAGTGCCTTTTCAATTTTTTAATAATTTTTATTGTACTGGGCTTGGTTAGGTTTATTACTGTTCATATTTTGAGATCTTGCAACTGGATTGCTTTTTAATCGTTCTCAGTGAATTTATTATTAAAGTACAAGAAAGTAATTTATTTTGTATGTTGACTTTGTATCTTGATAATCCATCTTGGTGGAATCTTTTGTTCTTTTTGAATATAGAATCATATCAACAAACAAGAATAATTAGACTTCTTCCTTTTCTATTTCTTTTCCTTTTATTTATTTTTTATGCCAAAAAGCACTGGCTAAAATTTCTGTGTTCAGCAAAGGTGGTAGAATGGAAACTCTGGGCCCAGATCATTGCCATTTTCTGCTTTAAGACTGACCCAGAATGCACTGCTTGAGAATTCTGGAGCAGCCTGACAAATATATCTCTCATCACTCATTAAAGAAATTTCCTTTTGCAACAAATGGAAGCTATTCAAAGTTCCACAACTGATCAAAATATTTAAAATATGTGACTGTGAGGTTCCCAGCCAAAAGCAACAATCTACACTGCAATCTCTATCTACACCTCAGGCTCAGACAACATCTAGGAAGAGGAGACAGGAAGAATGTAAGAGCAAGAGGGTCAAGACACCCGCTGTGAGTTAATGCATTCTAGACATGTTAGGGGAGTTACATCAATGAAATCTCCACAGCATTGTGGTCTAAGATTTGCATAATGGCAAAACCAGTTGACATGCCATGATGAATGGAGGGAATTTCATGTGTCCCCACTTCATGATGAAGAGCTACAGGCAATCAATGGATGCTGAGAGAGGAAAAATCAGTTTTCTCTAAGGACTAACTTCCTGGAAGGTGAACTAATCCCATGTAGGAAGTTATAAACATAGCTATAAACATAGTTATAAACACCACCACTACTAAATGGACTCAATGTATTTTTCTCACATTATGTAGGTTGTTTCCTCATATGACAAGTGTGTCGTTGACTGTGCAGAAGCTTTTCAATTTCAAGAAATCTTATTTGTCATTTGTTGGTGTCATTTTTTGAGCAACTAAGTCCTATTCAGAAAGTGCTTGTCTATGGAGAGATCTTAAAGTGTTTTTTTTTTTTT